TTGGTTCTATTATTATTAGTGTTCTTTTATTTGTATCGTATAGATCTTTATTATTTTATTCTTTATATTAGTAAGCTAGTGGTTCTTCGTCGACTTTTAATATAAGGTGTTGTATATCTTATTTCTATATTAATATCCCTTAGATATCGTATAAGTGTATATTTTCCTTATTTAGGTATTTTTTCGATACGTATAACGTAAGAGTTATAATAATAGGATATATCTAGGGGTCGTTAAATAGCTTAAAATATAGTTTAATACCTTGTCCTTACTAAAATCTTATAGAAATAGTAATAGATAATATATTGTATTTAATAATTGTATACTTTATAGATATTTCCTTAGTAAGGTCTACCGTTCCTTTGGTATAGGGAAAGTTGAGTATTTGTCGTGATTTATTTTTCTATATGTAATGTATATATAGCTATAGTGCTTTATCTCTATAAGCGTAATATCTCTAAAGTATAATATCTCGTTGTTCCCTAGGTTATTCGCTTAGCGCTAGGTATAGAAGGTAAGGTATTGTATAGGATATATCGTAGATAAATCTTTCGACTATCTAGTACCTAGTGGATATTACCGCTGTATATTGGTATACTTTCTTAATAGTATATAGTAATATATAGATCTTTTTCTATTCGTTATTAGTATCCTTTTCCTCTATAATGAAAGTAAAGTTATAACTTTCTTATCCTATAATATCGTATATATATAAAGCACTATATTTATACTACACCTCGTATTTAATTAATAGGATTAACTTACTTTGTAATTTCGGGTCGCCGTAAGAGCTAAATTTCTAGTATAGAGTTTTATATTACCCTAGCCCCTCTAGGGCGTTAATATATAACCCATTATAAAGTATATCGACTTAATATTTAGTGTAGATAACTATCACGTTTATTCCCACTATTTCTACCTTATATTTTTTCTATAAATAGACTAATTCTATAACTAAAAGACTTTTAGTTTACTCGTCTTCTTCTAAAGTATCTAGTAGCTATTATCGTTACTAATGTTTTTTATTCTTTTTTCCGTAAGGGAACTATCCTAAACCTTTCTTTTTAGGTAAATAGATAAGACAATAATCGTTAAAATAGAATACCTAAGAAGTTATAGCGTACTTAAGGCTCTCCTTTTACTTACACTTAAGATCCTCTTCGAACTTCTTTAAGTCGTCGTTAGCTATAGTTAATACAGTTCCAACTTCTTAGGGGTATAATACTTCCCCGGAGATTACTCCTTCCTCCTAGACTTTTCGTAGTTCCTTCTATACTTTCTCAACAATACTAGCTCTCTCGATAATAGCTATTATCCTATCGTAACCTCGCGATATACGTTAGAACGCGCTACGTAATTTAGTGAATTGTATCTAAGCTTCTTTTTCTAGCTCTTCGAGTTACGCGAGTTCTTTTTTCATCGAAGTATTAGCCTTTTTTCCTTCGATACCAACTATAACTTTTTCTATTATATATAGTTCTCTTAGCCTATTTCCATAGTCTCTAGCTATATATCTAGATTTTCTATAACTATAGTATAAGTTTTCTTTCTTTCGTCGCTCTTACTCTTTTTTAGATAGCCCCTTACACTAGAATTTACCTTTATTTAGTCGTAAGGACTAGCCTCGTTCTATAGCGTCAAGATCTATCGAATCTCTATAAGATTAGTGACTTTTCTTTTAATAGAAGGTTCCTCTAAAGTGTAGTCGTCCAGAACCCTTCTTTTTAAGTCGTCGTTCAAAAAGCTAATTATCGATACTGATAGCCCTAGTAACCAAGTCTTTAAGTTACTTTAGGCGATCCATTCCTATTTCGTCCTTTATATTATCCTTAAGTCCCTAATAGAATACGAAGGTAAAAGTATAGTTTTCCTAGTCTAGCTTAAACTTAAGTCGTTAAAATAAAGCGTAATACTACGCAACTAAACTAGTTTACTTAAGTTACTAGATTCGTTAGGTAACCTACTAAGCCTCTTCTAGTACTCTAAAGATCTATATAATTATATCTACAAAATTATCGTATTTACTAAAGATCCTTTTAGTCTTATCTTCTCACTAATCCTAGCTATAGATTAAGTAGTCTTTTATAAGGGGCTTAATCCAATAAAAGGCTAACCCTCTTATATATATAATAGTATATAAGACCCTAGTAGGATAAGTATTATAATCGTTTAGTCGAAGTATAAATATAGCTTAAAGTTAGATAAGAAATATTCCTAGTTTAGCTCTATCCCTATAGAATAGCTTAACCTTTAGTCTATCCTTCTTCTCACTAAATACCGAAGCATTAATAGAAGTTAGTGGGGCCGTAGATCGAACTAATCTAGTAAGGGATAGCGAACGAATAAGAGCTTTAGAGCTAAATATAGTATCGTATACTTCTAGTTAAGAAATAGTTAAAGTATTATAAATCGCTCTACGATAAGATATTACGAGACAAGGGTTCCTTAGTAAGTAAAAAGTATAGAGTATATATCTATAAAAGCACGAGTATATAAATAAGTCGCTATACTAGAGCGAAACTAATCGATATCTAAAACGTATAGGTATAATCGTGAACGAAGTTAACTATATAGTAAAGCTATAAAATAACCTCGTATATATAGTCGTATAATCTATATAATCTATTACTTTACTTACTTTACTCCTAGGGCCGACAGAGTATCAGATCAATAGATCAGTATCACGTAACCCAGCCTTACCTAGGACGAGGCTATCTCTTCGGCACTCTTTCCTCTCCCCGTCCTACGTAGCACGGCGTCACGGCCTCTTCCTGGTCGTAGGCTAATTCGTAACAGTCTAGCGATTAATTTATCGCGAGTAATTAAGAGAATATAGACTATATCTTTAGGTTATCTATATTATATAATTTTAGTTTTTTATTTAGTATCTATATAAAAATATTAAGTTAAAGTCTTTTCCTTAATAGTATTATTATAAATAAAATAGATATTCTTTCTACTGTTCTTATATATAATACTCTATTTATACTATTATCTACTATCTTCTCCTCCTTTACCTCGACTTTCTCTTCCTCGACTTTCTTCTACTCGACTTCCTTCTACTCGACTTCCTCCTCCTCTGCTTTTATTTCTTTCTCTATTTCCTCCTCCCCTTCGTTAACTTTCTTATTCTTTTATATGCTAGCTTCCTCTATTTCCTCTCCATCTGTAGGTTGCTCTACATTCGCTCAGAAGAACCAGGATAGTACCTCAAGTGGGGATAACGAGGTATTTTTTAATTAGTCCTTTTAGCTTCCAGAGCCCATTGAATATGACTGACTAGGTTTTCGGGAGTAAGATCCGGTGGCAGCTCCCGTATAGTCAAGATGTGTGTAACCCATTCCAGGAATTCCGTAAGTGTCAATAGTCACTTGGAGGGCTCAAAATCCGCGCCATGTTCGACTCGAGTGTCTTAATAGATTCTGCAGTAATGCGGTTCTTACCACGAAGAACTTTCAGGTAATATCGTATTTTGGCAATGTTATAACTGATGATCTTAGTTAGGATCTTTGTCTCTTTGTTGGACGGTGCAAACACTGCGGCAGTGGTATTGTTACCATCGATATCTGGATTAGCTAGTGCACCCTACGCACCCCTACTGGCCACACTGTTGAGGGTAACAACGGGTGGATTCCTTTACACCATGATTGCTCGCGTGGCCCTGAGGGAGATGGTGTCCAGGTGCACAAAGGAGTGGGTTGCCAATGTTGTCAATGCCTTTCGGAGGCCCAAACCATGCGTCGAAGCGCTCTTTTATGGACTGTTGAATGCCGGCTACGAAGCCTAGATCGTGGTTCCCTGACAGAGAGGCAAGGATGCGACGACCTTCAGGTTCAGCCTGACCCGCGGTTTGTCTCTACACCATGACCGCAGAAGCAGGTTTGGAGAAGCGATGTACTCTTTGAGCTAGAATGACGTGCCATATTTCTTTGTGCCGCTCTTGGGGGATATCGACTCGGGTGTGCCCGATTATCGTCCGTCATCAAAATCACCCAATCGAGCCGCCGACGCTAAGGCGCGTCGCGTCACGTCAGGTCTGTTTGCCTTCCGGCGCAGTATTATCCTCCAATTACCGACCATGCGCAAAACCCTAATTTTCAGAAGGAAGGAAACATCCTTGTGAAAACTTCTCTATACACGGGAGCAATATCTCTTGACATGGACAACGGTGCACCGAATTGTATTAAAGATTGGATGGGGATAGAGAGGTAGAGCGTTGCAACCATTGCGGAGGGACTGTTCCCGTGGTGGTCTGCGCGTTCCTGCCAGTTAAATTTGGCGGTCTTTCTCATTGCGTGTGACGTGACTGAATATGGTGCTAATGACGAATTCGGCTCTTAATTTGTCACTGTCACTGGCGGTCGTGCAGATGATAGCCCCTTAAACCTCCGGTACCGACGAGCCAGAGCTTGTGTCTCACTTTGCAAAATCAGAATGACACCAGTCAATTCACGCCCTTTTTCGTGAAAGGAAAGCTGACATCTCCCAACATACACTTGGAAGGCGGGCTGTAAGGAAGAGGAAAGGAGCAGAAAGGGCCTGTTGCAAGCGTCGTGAGTTTGATAGCTGTGTACCGGGCCTAGCCGGTTTGAGTAAAACTTTGGTACCTTGTTTGATATGAACATGCTGCATCGCAATAGGGGATAGATGTTATTTCAAGAAATCATTTGAGGATACCAATGCTACAAACCCCACGGCACCCGAATTCCCTCTCCCTGCAAATATATGTTGCAAGTAAATAATAAATTCGCGAGCCATGCCACAATTATACCCTTTCTTTCGCAGTGTCGTTCGATTCAGGACGTCACATCTGTCATGAGATGTCTAAACATCTCCACCCCCTAACGTGGACGCGCGCTCTCTCAATATGGTGCCACCCAAGATCGACTTAAGCTTATGCCTGACGTCTCCTATTCGAAGGTGCACCCTCTGCTCGTCCTTTGGAGGGACCTATTAAAAGGTAAGATTACCCTGCCAGAGTTAGGAATTCGAATCCTAGACTCGGCCCTGTTGCACCTAAATCTCTTGATTTGGCACTCAATATCACAAGCATGACAAATTTAAGAGAGGACGTGTGGAATCAGAACATTGCGGCGGCCGCCAACCTGATTTCCAGGGACATTATCCCAAAATGGGCTCTGGCATCAGGGAACCAGCTCCCTTGTAGGAAGATTCTGTCCAAGAAAAACCTCACATCCGCTCTTCCGCGATTCATGCAGCCTGCGGGGCTGCGAAACAGAGAGCCCAGTCCGACTTCTTACCTGGACGCACTTCGGGGTTATGCGGCCCTGATTGTAGTCTTCTTCCACACCTTCGCCACCAGTGACGGCGTATCGCAGGAGTGGAGGCACCAACCCATTCTGAACCTGCTCGACGCCGGCAAAGGCATGGTTGCCCTATTTTTTATGATCTCCGGCTATGCCCTGTCCCATCGGCTTCTCATCTTGAACAGACAGGGCGACACAGACCGTTTACTGAACGCACTGGCTTCGTCAACATTTCGACGCTATTTTAGGCTCTACATCAGTTGTGTTGCGGCGTGCCTGGTGACAGTGCCAGTGATCCGGCAACGAGGGTACAACGGCTTCGCGAACAACCTTCGCAAAGAGAGTCTACGCGACCAAATGGTGGATCTCTTTCACGACATGGTCATCTTCACCAATCCCATCCCCAGTCACTTGACCGGGCTTACGGATAAAGGCTTCTTTCACACCAAATATCTCGTTCAACTGTGGACGATCCCCGTGGAGTATCGCGGCAGTATCGGACTGTTCTTGTTTATCCTCGCCACATGCAAAATGTCGACAAGGAACCGGATGATGTCTACCTGGGCCATGATCCTTTCGTGCTACATCTGGAAGATTCAATACGCAGCTGAGTTCCTGGCCGGCTTGTTCATTGCAGACCTCTCACTGAGCCAGCATCCACAGCGTGTGCACAAGCAGATCGATCGTACACAATCACCCCGTTATCAGTCACGGCAGGCCATCATCTGCTGGAGTGGTCTTCTATGCGTCGGCCTGTTTTTGTTAGCACGGCCCAAGTTAGGCGATCAATTGGGTTTTCTGGGTGCTTTTCCTTGGGCCTTCCTCAACAGCCTCACGCCCTTTTGGTGGGATGGAGACGCCCAGTACTGGTTCTGGTTGGGACCTGGTGCTTTCGCGGTGATCCTGGCGATTGATTCGTGTCCTACGCTTCAGAAACCCTTGAACTGGCGATTTTCACAATACATAGGCGAACTTTCGTTCGGCCTCTACGCGGTGCATCCGCCTTTCGGATTCGCAGTGAGAGACAAAGTGGCCGGACCCATTAGGAAGAAGTATCTGGGCGATTCTTTCTTGGCTCACATCCCGAGTTTTCTCGTCGTGACCACATGCATTATCGTGATGGCCGATTACTTCGAACGTCTAGACCGGAGAAGCGTGGCATTCTCGAGGTGGGCGCAACAGAAGCTTTTCACTTAAAGTGTTGCAGAACACGGTCACCGCTAGCAAGTCAACACAGTATGCGGTACTCTAACCTTCTGGATATATAAATCAATTTCTTCAATCGATAAATTGATGGTGCACCTACGTAGTCACCCCTAGCACTTCAGCCGACCTCAGCCTAGACCTGGCTCAATTCCACAAGTGTCCTGGCTTGCGACTACTCAGGGCATACAAAATCTATTGCTTGTTTCTATTGCGTAGACTGATTGAATTGCCGTGTGTACAGCTCCAAAAGCTGAAGCGCCTCTGATGTGAAAGATGGGTTGAGAACCCAAATGGTGAGCGGAATAATGGTGGTTGTACTTCAGCTCTTCCTCCTAAATCTTCCCTAACATGCCGCTGCCCGCTCGGTGTTGGGAATGTTGTCTTCCTCCGCAGTGGCAAGGCACCTCTCGTTCAAAAAGCAACATGGTTCTGGGAGTTCTATCTCGTCGTTCGACGAATACCATCATGTAATTTCCGTCCTCTCAGACAGTTCAAGGAGGAGATTATGGCAGCGCGCTACAGGCGGCATCTGGTCATGGCCATGAAGAGGTGGTGAAGAGGCTCCTGGATGCTGGGGCTGATGTCAATGCCTGAGGAGCGCTTCTGGGTACTGTGTTGTGGGCGACATCATATCATGGTCATGAAAAGGTGACGAAGATGCTGCCGAATGTTGAAGCGGACATCAATGCTAAAGGATAAGAGTATGGCGATGCACTGCAGGCGGCATCACCTTGGGGCCATGAGGCATTGGTGAAGATGCTTCCGAATACGGAGCGGATATTATCGCCAAAGGAGGAGTGTGCTAGACAGAACCGCAACCGAGACAGATAGCTTGGACATGTCCAGGTGGTCGGCAACAGTATTGGTATATTCACCGTGAATAAAAAAGGGGGGGGAAAAGGAGAGCTGCCACATGGTAACAGTAGGTTAACTTAGTAAGGGTGGTTGGATGCATGTACAGTTTCTGTGCGGACATGGCTGCGATTGATCCTGTTACACTACATCATGTGTTTTACAGAGGGATCGAAGCACTAATCCGAATTAAAAACCCTGCGATCGTCTAGAAGGAACTGTGGCCGACCTTGGGTCAATGGATCTTTCTGGTCATCGAGGCAGCACTGAAAACGCGAGTTACCTCACAAGCATGGAAGCAAGCTAAGGTTATACCGCTGCGAAAGCCAGACAAACCATACTACATAAACGCGAAGACCTACCGATCGACATCGCTGTCGGCAACGCTGGCCAAGGGGTTAGGGTCGGTCCTGGGCGAGAGACTCTCCTTCTGAGCCGACTGGCTGGGACACGTCGGTGATGAGACCAAGCTCGTCCGACTACGCTTTGGGGTGGTGGTCCACCGAGCACCACGGCAGGGCTTGCGCTCGAACTACACAAGAAAGAAGCTATTCAGAAGATCATCGATGATAACGACTTCGCTGCGAAAGGCTATCAGATTCAGGATATCGCGTGGTTAAAAAGTGAAGGCAAGTTGCTTGGTCACTCCGCACCATTAGCAGTTTGGCTGGACACCGGTGAAGCGGCGAAATGGGTCATCAACAACGGGACGGTGTTCGGTTAACAGTATATTGGCAGAGTGGAAGCATGTCAAGTCAAGAAGAAGCGATGTCATCGGTGCCAGAGCTACGGTGCACCTGGCCTGGTCATGCAAGGAGCAGGCTCTGTGTGGACACTGTGCCGGCAAGCATGAACGACAAAACTGTCCCCCGGACACGGCTCCGAGTTGCATCGATTGTAATGGACCACATGTTGGTGACAGGTATGAGAGCGCAGTCGGAGCATCGACTGACAGGGTGTGCCAAGTTGGACCCCTGCAAAATCATCGTCGAAACACCAATAACGCTGAACAGTTACGCTTCGTGTGCAGAGAACGAGGTGATGTTGAGGCTATTGCCGGACGGGCATTAAATGCGGTGAGGGCAAAGAGAACAGGAAGTGCTGATCATTGTGGTCCGAACGACGAAAGTCAGTAAACCCAGACGCGTCCAAAAAATCTGACTCTCGGAAAACGAAAACATGGAGAAATGGATCGCCATAGTGCTTTGAAGCACTCAACGGACTGGCCAGGTCTGGGCCCAATTGCTGGGAAAGTGGTATCTCCGGGAGAAATATACCAACATCTGGTGGACCATGCAGGCAAGTATGCATCTGAAATGCCCAGGATCCAGTATCTCACCCGTCTTTTCTTTCACTTTGGAGGACCACTTGCATTCCAACAGCTAATCGACGCCTTTTCGGCCATGTGTCACACGAAAGAGATCGACATCGCAACTGTCGGCGGACGAATTCGAGCCCTGGGGAGGATCAGCCTCGCCAATCCCCTCGAGCAGCGAGCCCTTCTGGTAGAGCCGAACAGTGAGCGAACCCGTCAGCAACAGCACGCCGTGGTCCAGGGCCATCTTCAGCCCGAGAGAACGGCTTTAGGCGAAATGATGGCCTGCTGTTATGAATCGCTCCACGCTGGGGTGTCACGAGACAAGGGTTCCTTGGCAAGTGGGAAGCATAGAGTGTATGTCCGTAAGGGTACGAGTATATGAGCAAGTCGCTATACTAGAGCGAAGCTAATTAATATCCAAACGTATAGGTATAATTATAAACGAAGTTAACTATATAGTAAAGCTATAAAATAACGAGGTATATATATCTATTATATTAGTAACGATATATTAGAATATTAATATATCGATATAAAGAGTATACCGTAAATTCGCTAGTTCGTTATATCGTAAGTTACCTCTTTAGGAAGTTACGTAACCTAGGTATTAGCCTCGCAGTTATAAGGCTAGCACTTCGTTCTACCTTACCGATTCTTTCTGCTATGGTTATAGCTTAGTCTATAACCTATAGATTAGGTCTATTTATAATGCTTTCCCCTTCTTAGATCTATTCGTTATTTATAACGTATATAAAGTAGGCGTTACCCTCTTTACCTATTTTCTTTTTATATTCCTTTCTTATAGTTAATAATATAGGCCCTTAAGATTAATAAGTTATCTCGTAAGAAAAAGAAATCCTCTAAACCTTCTATTCCTCTATTCGTTCGGAAAAATATTCTTATCGATTTAATATTCGTTAATAAGAATTTAACTATAATAGTTTATTTTTAATGTATTATCTATAGAGCTATATATTATTATAACTACGAGTAGTCGATAAAGTATATAAAATATATCTATTATTAAAGAGATTATAATAAAACTTTTACTTTATTTAAATTTTAGCGGATAAATAAAAAGAAAAAGATCTTTTAAAAGAAATCTCGAGAATACTAAAGACGTATTTTTTATCTTTATACTACTATATATAAGATACTGTTGTGGAGACGATCGTTACTCTTAATAGTTAAGGGGGGGGGGGGGAGGACGAAGGCCAAGGAGGCAAGTATCAGGAGTATCGAAACGATATATAGAAAGTACATAGATAGTTAGATAGCGATAGTCTACAATGAAGAATATATATACGAGAACTCGAAGAGAGCTATCGTAGAGATTTCTGTGTTGACGCGTTTTATTTTGTATATCTTTTACTATAGTATAAGGAATTATAGCGTATCCTCTCGTTCGTAACCTTGTTACGTAGTTTCGATTACTGATTATTAACTCTTAAGTATATATAGTGCTTCTTTAATCTCTCTCTATATCTAGTGCTTTTATACGAATCTTTTAAGTAGTAAAATAAGCTAGGATTTTAATTGACGCTTTAGTAGTATATCGAATTCCTATAATGGTAATAATAGCGAATAGAAGAAAGAAAAACAACTAAAGAGACAATAGAGATTTAAAAAATAGCGAAACGAAGGTTGACGATACTTTTAGAGATAGACGATACGTTTAACCTTAACGAAGAGATATAGTCTAGACGAAGTATCCAAAGACGACGATAACTTAATTTAAAGCGATACTCGAGATATATTAGGTAAGGCTACGATAGCGTAGCGTTAACTAATTAAGAGAGACGCGAAATTTAGAAAAATATAAGCGATAGCGATAGTAGACCTATATTACTATAAATTTAGAAAGTATAGGATTAATAGCTTAGAAGAGCTATAAGCATTCTACTATAATATATAATTAAAAGAGAAATTAAAAAGATAAAAAAGAAAAAAGAACCTCGACGATTATAGAGAAAAAAGAAAAAGACTAACTACGATTACTTTATTTTTATAAAAAAAGCGATTAATATTATTATACAATATAAACTTTTTATAATTTATTTTATAGAAGTATTATTATTATTATTAATTACTCTTTATAATAGAGAAATATTATTTTTATTTTATATCGAAAGTAATATACTTAATTTAGAGATATCGCTATATAATCTTTAAAGAGCGAATTCGAGATTATTAATTCTCTTACTATTGAGAATACCCTTTTTATTGAAAAATTTTACGACGAGAATAGCTAAATTAAAAGTAATATTTACTATCTTTATCTTATTAAGTACTTTTAGTCGACTAATAATATAGTATATTTATATAATAGAGATCTTTTTTATTTTTAAAATTTACGATACTCTATAGTTTATAGATAAAAATATAACTAAGTTCTTACGAATCTTTAACGAGATATATAACAATTATCTTCTCGATAATACTATATATTATTAAAAGTTACCTTAATTCTATAAATATAGTATTTATACTTATATTATTAAGTTAAAGAAGTATCTTATTAATAATTAGAAAAGCTTAAAGAAGATTTTAAAGAAAAAGTAGAAAAGATATAATACTAAGTAATAAAGGTATATACCTAAATTTCTAAGAGTATTATATAATATAAAGAAAGATAAAAAAAATCGATATTTATTAGTACTATCGCTAGTTTAAGAGAGTAATAGTAAGACTCTTCGAAAATAAAATCTTAATTAAATATATAGCGTTAATTTAGTTTCTTAAGGGATTATCTAAGTATCTTTATAATAAAGTTCTATTAAATACTAAAATTAATCTATATAATTAAAAAAGTATAAAATTTAATATAATCTATAAAAAAACGTTAGCGAACCTTAATTTATAGAAGATAGTAAAATACTTCAATAAGAATAAAAAAGAGAACAATATATTTTAGACTCTTACCAAAGATTTAATAAAACTTATAGTTATATCTAAGAGTTAAGAGAATATTTACTCGTTTAATTCTCGCGAAAGTA